TTACCTATCACCTAAATTTATAATAAAATGTGCTAAAACTGTAGCTTTGCCGATATCGCTGTTATTTAAGAAATCACTTACTATTTGTGCTGTTCCTCGGATTTGGAAGTCTGCGTTTGTTACACCCGTGCACAAGAAAGGGCCAAAAACTGAAATTGTTAATTATAGACCCATTTCCAAATTATGTGTTTTGGCAAAAGTCTTTGAAAAGGTTGTTTACGATCAAGTGTACGCGGCGCTTAAAAATACTTTTAATCCATCACAACACGGTTTTTTAAGAGGACGTTCAACCGTTTCAAACTTGGTACTACTGAATGATTATGTGACGCAGGGCATGGATGATGGTGCTCAGGTCGATGTTATTTATACTGACTATAGCAAAGCGTTCGATAAAATAGATCACAGCATACTGAAAATAAAATTGTTTAACAGTGGCATAAGGGGGGACTTACTTCGGTGGTTTTCCTCTTATCTTGAAAATCGGACTCAGGCTGTAGTTGTCAGTAATTATATTTCTGGCTGGGTTTCTATCCCCAGCGGCGTGCCCCAGGGTTCTTTAATGGGTCCATTGCTTTTCACGATTTACGTGAATGACATCGACTCCTGCTTCCAAAGTTCTAATCTGCTCTGTTTTGCTGATGATATGAAGATCTATTCTGCAATATCATCGGCAAACGATGTGCAGGCGCTTCAATCAGACTTATCACGACTTGATCACTACTGTCAATTAAATAAATTAGAACTAAACCCCGTTAAATGCTCAGTCGTCACGTTTGGTAGAAAACGGTCACCAATACTAGCACCATACGAACTTAAGGGACAAGTATTGCCAAGATGTGATGGGGTACGTGACCTTGGTGTTTACCATGACGCGAAGCTACTGTTCGATGTGCATATTGAGCAAATTATTGCTAAAGCTTCCAAGGCTTTGGGGTTTGTAATGAGAATTGCCAAATGTTTCGTAAAAGCTAAGACGCTTAAAATTCTCTACTGTACTTTTGTTAGGAGCCACCTGGAGTATGCCTCGCAAGTTTGGAACCCTTGCTATCATAAGTACATTGATCGCATTGAGAACATACAGAAACGTTTTCTGAGGTTCTTGTGTTTTCGTTTAAATATTCCTTATAGCTCAAACAATTACATTGGTCTGTGTAAGAAATTTCATATCCAGCCACTTGTAAATCGACGCCGATTAGCTGATTGTTCTTTTCTTTTAAAAATTATTTCTAATGAGATTAACTGTCCTAGCCTTTTGCAAAAGTTAAATTTTAATGTCCCCCGTAAGTCGATTAGATTTAATCCACCCATTTCTATTCCAATTTCTTCCTCAATCTATAGAAAAAATTCATATATTGTGCGAGCGAGCGGAGATTTCAATAAATTGTGCAAGGAATACTCTCTTGATCCCTTTAATACCAAAAGCAATGTTGTGCGCGGTATGCTAAACCTTAAATTTTTTAGATCGTAACATTTTTAGATCGATAATTATTTATTGTATAGTTGTATAGGTGTAGTGTCGTATTAGTTAGTGCTCCAGAACCTCTGTTATTTACAATGATTCTATTCGTGAAAACCTGTAATTGGCTTGATGTAGCACATCAATCTGACCATTTCATTTTTGTAGCTGTTGGTTTTCCTAACTGAAATAAATAAAAAAAAAAAAAAAAAAGTCTGAGTATGCGATTGGCAGTAGTTAGCCATCTTGAATGCGACATTTTTCCAACGGCGGCTCGCTAACTCAGGGGAACAAGAACCAGTCGTCACAGCATGACACATTTCATACAGATACTTTTGATCCGTACTTAGTTCCTTCACAATGTCATCAGGTAATTCGAGCAAATTGCCAGCCACTGCACAAAAAGACACTAGTGGTTTACTTTCACAAACATTTAGCTGTTTTCCAATAGGTCCTGAGTATTCTTTCGGCCCAGATGTGCTACCATCTAGAGACATAAACAAATGGCGAAGCGGTAATTCATTTGTGTGAAGCATACAAACACACCATTGTAACGGTCTCTTCAAATAGTCTTCCAGGTATTTAATGACACCTCCTTTCCAACCTGTATTTGTAGGAGTGCCATCGCAACCCACACAACTTACTTCTTCTAAGTTCCATCCTTGATTTTCTAACAATTCTATAATAGAAGTGACAATCCCTTTCGCAGTACTTCGACTCGGCGTCGTATGTCCCAAGTAAATGGATCCCGGCTCTGTAAGAACTGAAATGTGTTCTTCTAAGACTTCTTTTCGGTGGTACCGGCTGTCTATTTTATTGATCTTGAGAGTTTTATCTTTTCGCCCATCGAAGTAGATACTCTTTATAATAATTTTATCGATGTCTTTGCTGGCTTGGGTACGTGACTTTGAAACAGCTCTGTGAATCTTATTTTTATCAATCACAAGGTTTAGATCTTCGGAAGATACCATTCCTACGTCAACTAAGACTGCTGAAGCGACTGCAGCTGCCGAACGCGTCGATAGTCCGTATCGATCACATACCTTAGCTACTGTTGGCAGCGTCAGAGTGTTCCGACTAAATGAATTAGATGGAGACTCCTTTAAGTCACTTTTAGTAGAAGGTTCTATTGGAAGCGACTGTGAACGAGGCGGCAACACGCGTACCGGTACAGTATCGGTTTGTGAAGTACTCGAAAAACATGCTTGCTCTGTCCGCTTCAAATTTTCTTGTCTTTGATGTTTCTTTAAAAGCCTTGCAGTTTCTTTTACGTCTACGCCGCTTATTGCCATTTTCCTATCATTTCTTTGGTCCAGTAAAAAATCTCTTTCAGAAATGGGAACTTTCTTGGGTTTAGTGCAGGAACAATTTTCAAACGAAGTGCACTTACAAGCAGCGATGTCAAAAAGCTTATTTGACGATTCCAAAAAGCACTTAACTTTGTTGTCATAGCTATCGTTTCTCTTACTTTTAGGATATCTTATTGGTGATAAATATTTGTTAAAATATGCGGTTAACAGTTGAGTAACCCGTACGTTAGAAACGATGGGAATTGAAGCTTTGGTCCAAATTGTGTTAAGTTTTCCAGAAACTATTGAAAAGACTTCTGAGTTCGATGGATCTTTTCCGTTTTTCTGTAGTTTTAATTCACTTTTAGTAAATAAAATGCACTTAATAACGTCTTTTATAAGAGGTAATTGGCGATCGTCAAGTTCTTTATAAGGTCCCAATATAGTACAAGTAGTCTCACTTCGCCTTGAACACATTTTTATGATTAAGTAACGCAAATTACGTTTTTCTTTCAAAGAAGAATAGAACAACTCCTTACAAGAGTAAAATCGAAATAGAAATGAGACGAACTGTCTTGTTGTAGAAGTAGCGCACGTACGAAAATCAAGTCAAAACATGAATTTTGTAGGAATTTTGCAAGTCCGATCCAAACCGATTGATCGCTAAAACAACCTGTCGATACTTGCAAATCATAGCCGAGGCTTTTCTTATTGATAAAATTACAAGACAAAACAGAATTGATTCATAAAACATAGAATATACGACATTGACTACAAGGTTGTTTTTGCGAATTTTCAGTAAATAAAAATGCTGGTAGAGCCCTAAGGATATTTTTAAATATTTTTTAAATTATTTTTACGCTAATCTACGTAGCGTACGTAGCTAAAATAAGAATAAAAAAAAATCGGGACACCCTACTAGGCATGGATAGTGGAATGATTACAGTACTCGCCTTACTTGATTTTAGCAACGCTTTTAATACTGTAGATTTTCACATTCTGCTTGGTATACTGCGGTCTCTTAACGTATCTGCAAGAACAATTTGGTTTCACAGTTACCTGTCTGGTCGCCGGCAACGTATTTGCATTGAAGACTCGGTGTCTTCCTGGAGCAGTATTTCTGCTGGTGTACCACAGGGTGGCGTTTTATCTCCTTTACTCTTCGCTGTTTTTATAAACTCCATCTCTAATCAGTTAAGTTCGTTCTATCACCTGTATGCAGATAATTTACAAATATATATACCATAAGACGGGGTGAATAGAACTCGCGTGGGGAATAGAGAAAAATCTTGGGCTAATTTCAACCTTTTTTTATGGCAAACTCGGTGACCCCAGTAAAAAACCCGCAACTTTAGTGATTATTTGGTAATATTTTTCTTAGTCTGGCAACGTTTTATTTGTGGCAACATCGCGAAAAAACGTCAAAACTCATTGTCAAAGTTGGCAACAAAAGAAGTCGTTAGGTACGCGTGAGTTTGAACTTCTGTGTTTCGGTGAATTTCGGTCATAATAGTTTAAAATTAATTTCAAATTACAGTCAGTGCAGTTATAAATATATTGTGCTGTAATTATTGAGGTAAGGATATCCATTATTGTATAAAATTGTCCTTTTTTCGTAAGCCTTGTTTTCTTTAATTTTTCGAGGTGAATAGATACTCGAAAGGGGTGAATAGACACTCCTGAGGGGTTAATAGGCACGCGAATATGGTTAATAGACACAACAAAGGGGTGATTAGTTACGAAAGAGGGGTGATTAGCCATGATTTTGTCAGGGCTGCCGCAAAGTTTAAAGCACCGTTAATAGTGGTTTTATACAGTTCAAATTTCACTTTTAGTTACTTATAGTGTTTTTAATTTTCTTTGTTATTTTTTAACTCTATTAGGCGCCATTATTCAATGAAACATAAATTAATAAGGTATTCATTTGGTTTTGTAAATTTTATCTTTGTTTTATTTCTCAGGTACAATAATGCCTAGAAATTATAAGCCCGATCCACGGGGTAAGCAGTATCGAAAATATGACCTTAATACTATTAAACAAGCTTTGGAAGAGTTTCAAACAACTCCAAAGTGTTCATTAGCCTCTATTGCAGAAAAATATAACATTAATAAATCCGTGCTATACCGACATAATAGGAAATTATTTAAACATTTGCGGCAATTGGGGTTATCCATTAGATACTTATGATTTAAGAGTTGTAATTAAATTGTATTTGGATAATCTAGGTATCATACACAAGCGTTTCAAAAACAATATGCCTGGACCAGATTATGCTACAAGATTTTTAAAAAGACACCAAAATTCCATTTCTTTGAGAATGTGTCAAAACATAAAAAAGTCGAGGGCTCAAGTTTCACCCGATACAATTAACGAATACTTTCAGGAGTTAGAGGAATCCCTGAAAGAAATTGATCCAAAAAATATAGTTAACTATGATGAAACGAACCTCAGTGATGACCCTGGACGCAAGAAGGTCATAGTGAAAAGGGGAACTAAGTACCCTGAAAGAGTCCTTAATCAGTCGAAATCTTCAATATACATAATGATGGCTGGTACAGCTGCAGGAGAGCTACTGCCTCCATATGTAATTTATAAGGCCAACAACATTTATGACACTTGGACTACAGGCCGACCTAAAGGTACACGCTTCAATAGAACTGCATCTGGATGGATTGATGGCAGTACTTTTGAAGATTATATTAAGTCCATTATTATTCCATTCTTTAAAGATAAATCGGGAAATAAAGTTATGATTGGTGACAATTTATCATCTCATTTATCAATAGAAGTGATTAGAATGTGTGAACAACACAATATTTCATTTATATTTCTACCAGCAAATTCCACCCATTTAACGCAGCCCCTAGACATAGCTTTCTTTAGGCCTATGAAAATTGCTTGGAGAATCATTTTACTGAAATGGAAAAAAACAGATGGCAGAACCCAAGCTTCAGTACCGAAAGGATGCTTCCCAAGACTTTTAAAACTACTTATAAATGAATTATCAGAGAATGTTGAGACAAATCTTAAAGCTGGTTTTCGAAAAGTAGGTATTATTCCTGTTGATTGCAATCAAGTCCTATCAAGACTCCCAAGTAACGAAAATGAAGACCCAGATAAATCAAGATATGCTGTTGACAAATTAGTCTTACAAATACTTAAAGAAATGAGATATGACACAATGAACATTAAGGAACCAACACGTAAACGAAAATTACATGCAGAATCTGGAAAAAGCTTAAGAAACATTGATGATGATAATTTAGAAAGTACATCCGAACACGAAATTACGAATAAGATAGTAAAAATATGTAAACAAGGCAACAAAAAAAAGAAGGTAATAGTTATTCCTGGAAAATCAGTTAATATCGATCCCGAAAGTAATGACTCCGAAAACAAAGAAATTGAAAACACTGACCCTGAAAATATATTGATACATAAATCTACGAAGAAAAAAGAAGTGCTACAACTAATAGACAAACTAAAAAATGACTTGATGGACAAAGATAGGACAGAATCTAAAAGAAGTATGTTAAATTCTGATAAAAAGAATGAAGAAATAGACATAAATCGACTACCTCTAGTATGCGTGGATGAATATGATATTATCAATAATTCTCAAGAAGATGAAGAACTACTTATTAACAACTACATTGATGAAAGTGTATCTAGCATAGATTACTTACCTAATATAGAAACAGAAGAAATATTTAGTGAAATCATAGATCCGCTACAGGGTGAGATGTGTGAAAATGGCAACAGCAAGGTTTTAGAAAAAAACGAAGAGAAAAAAGTCGAAGATAAAAAAATTGAAATTATTTCTGTAGAAAAAGTGGAGAATGCTAGATGTGGGGTGAATCTACGTAAATGTAAAAAAATACCTTTAAATACCGTAATTAACATAAAAAAAGAAAAAACTCAACGCACTAAAAATATGAAAGAAGTACCTGTACGACGAGGAAGTTATTACAAAAATGATGCCGATATTTTAAGAGATTTGACCGATAACAATTTTTAATAATTTGTCCAAGGATGGAAACAAATATTTTATACACGACTGATTATTTCATTATATTTTGATTATAATAATGAAAGGACTGATTTAATATAAAAATATTATTTTAAGTCAAAGTACAATTTTTAGTTTTGTTTTCGAGTTTGATGTTTAAGTTTGTTTAGGTGATTTTACTATGTTCATTTTTAATAACGATTGATTGTTGATTATTTATCTTTAATAATTTAATAAGAGTATAGAAACAAATATTATTTTAGAGGCAAAGAGCTTTTTTGTTTTAATTTTAGTTTGAAGTTCACGTTTGTTTAGAATATGTTGAAATAGGTAATTATTGTTAATAATTGTTGTTTTTTATTGAATTTGATTTTAATTCCTGATTGTTTTTATATAGAGAATATAATGTTAAAGTCAAGTGCATGTCGGCGCCCGCGCGCCGCCTGAGCGAAACTGTAAACAACACGTGCACCGATCACGCCACCGAGCGCGTCATTCGATGCCCCCACTCTCCCCACTACTAGATTTGCCGGTATAAAAGACTTGTAACGATCATTTTGAAGGCAGTCTTGGCTCTGGCGTGGCTCGGTGCACTAGCTGTACCTCGCTGCTAGCTTAACCTAGACACTTCGGGTAATTAATTCGTGAAAACGAATTAATTATTATTCCGGGTTATAATTTGGTTGCTGGACTAATTATACCCGATTATTTAAGGCTTATTTATCGAAGTGATAATTTATAATATATGTCTATTCTCAAGACACTGGAGCTTTGACGCTCAATAAAACGATGATGAATAGCGAAGATAATTGATTTTAATGTAAAAATTCGTTTTATTACAGTAATGTTCACAATTCGTGTCGTTCGTAATGAATGTTGAATAAAAAGTCTACATGGTAGGTAGTAATTTTTCTTTCCTTAAAAAATCATATATTTCCAACTACCGTCATAACTGTTTCCGTTGTGTATGACTGTCAGGCGTTAACATCATCCCCCCCGTTAAAGGTCTCCGACCTTTAACTTTCTTGAAGGTGCTCCGTCGCTGGTAGAGGGCAGAGCCGTGTGAAAGACCTTCGGTAGGTGCCATGGGGGGGTTTGGACGTCTGCAACGCGAGCCACTCCATCAGGACCAGGAAAAAGTTTCGTAATTCGACCAGAGCGCCAACATAATGGTGGTAGGTTTTCCTCCTGCAGCAGAACTAGGTCACCAACCTTCAATGTAGTGTCGTTGGTGCGCCACTTTGTTCTTTGTTGAAGTTCAGCCAAATACTCCTTCTGCCATCTTCTCCAGAAGTGCTGTCGGATTTGCTCCAGCCGTTCATAACGCTTCAGCTGAGTGGACTTGCAATCTTCTAGGCTTGCCGAAGGTAGCGCAGTTAGAGGCCGCCCGATTAGGAAGTGTCCAGGAGTGAGAAAAAGGAGATCATTGGGAGACGAGGACATAGGGTAAAGTGGACGGCTATTTAACAAGGCTTCTACCTGTGCAAACAGTGTGGATATTTCCTCAAGCGTTAAATGCGTGTTACCCATTACGCGTCTAATGTGAAACTTAGCTGATTTCACCCCGGCCTCCCAGATCCCACCAAAGTTTGGGGCGTAAGCGGGAAAAAATGAAAATTTCTTCCTCGTGTGAGAACTCTGTTATGGCCTTGTGATTACGTTTTATAAAATCACCAATTTCTTTGGCGGTGGCCACAAAGTTACGGCCGTTATCGCAAAAAATCTCGGCAGGTTTACCACGACGGGCAATAAATTTGCGTAAAGTAAGGATAAAAGCGTCCTTCGAGAGATCACCTACTGCCTCTAAATGTACGCATTTATATCTCATACAAACGAAAATACATAAATAACATTTTATAATCCTGGACCCACGACCCCTTTTGTTTAAAATAAAAAACGGTCCAGCAAAGTCTATGCCAACACTTATAAATGGGAAATCCACCGTAACGCGCTGAGAGGGCAAATTCCCCATAATGGGTAATAAAGATTTGCCTTGTACCCTTCTGCATTTGACACAATTGTGTGCGGTCCTCCTAGCCAGGTGTCGACCATTGATAGGCCATATGTATTGCCTAACGCTAGCCAAGAGAAGTTGCGGGCCAGCATGTAACTTATGTAAATGTTCCCTTTCAAAGATAAGTTTGGTGAGATGATGGGATGAATGTAGTAAGATGGGATGTTTGCTATCAAATGCAATAGCTGAAGCATCCAAGCGGCCTCCTACTCGAATTAATCTATCTGTGTTCATGAAAGGTGTCAACGATAAAATGTTAGACCTCGAACTAAGAGGTTTTCCTTTGGATAACAGACTGTATTCAACAGGAAAAGATTCCTGTTGCGCCATGCCTCATAAAAAGTGAAATGAATCCTTCAATTCTTCTAAACTTAGCGCGCCAAGACGTCTAAGATTTGTAGGGTTACGCAAATTGTGTAAAAATCTTAAAACATATGCATAAACCCGTTTAATTCTATGCAGTTTACCATAATTTTCAAATGGAATTATTGAAGGATTATCGATTTTAGCAGCAATGTTAGATTTTATCTCAGGAATTTCGAGCCCCTGTTGGGACTTATTAGCTAATGAAGGCCAAGACAAATCATCTTGGAGTAGAAATCTGGGTCCTGACCACCATAAATCACAATTTTTAAGCTCTCCAGGATGCACGCCACGCGAAATAAGATCAGCGGGGTTGTCCAGGGTAGGTACATAACGCCAGCAAGAAATATCTGTCAATTCGAGTATTCCCGCTACCCTGTTCGCCACGAAAGTTTTTAATTTTCTGGAGCTAGTATGCAGCCATGTAAGGACGACACTAGAGTCGCACCAATATACCTTACGTGCTATTGGGAACCTCAGAGACTCAACCACAGCTGCGGAGAGTTGTGCGGCTAGTAATGCAGCTGCCAGCTCCAAACGTGGTATAGTGCATGCCTTTATTGGGGCCACCTTTGACTTTGAGCACAAAAGTTTAACATGTACGGTACCAGTGTTATCAATGGACCTTGTATAGATGCAAGCGCCATAGGCTCTTTGGGAAGCGTCGCTGAACGTATGCAGCTCGGTTACCACTGGTGTTCCACATAGAACCTGCCTCGGTATGGTGATGAGGGTAAGGTGAAATAGACCTTTAGAAAACTTCTGCCAAGTCCTTTCGACATCCTTTGAAACTGGGTCATCCCAACCAACCTTGTCAAGCCAAAGCTGCTGCATAATCATTTTTGGTATAATGACACAGGGGCTAACAAAACCAAGAGGATCAAAATTTTAAATGAAGTTGATAGTATATAGCGCTTAGTAATATTTTCTTTTACAGGTGGTATTTCAAAAGAGAAATGTAAATGATCTGTCTTGGAATTCCACCCTAAGCCAAGGGTGCTTGATGATTCACTGAGGATTAGAGTATCGTTAGAGTCTTCCGAGCAAGATTCGAGAGCGGTCGCTGAATTGGATTTAAACTTCCTTAAGTTAAAACAGCCCTGCTTTAAGGCGTCCGATAATGAGTGCCTTATACGTTTTAAGTCGCTTTGACTATTCAACCTGTGATGACGTCATCGACGTACATGTCATGCTGTATTATAGTTTTAATGCGTGGGTCGTCGCACTCCTCGCCTAACTGCCAAAGGCACCTTGTGCTTAAATAGCTTGCGCTGGAAAATCCGTATGTCACAGTATTTAAACGTTAAATTTTAAAGGGCTCATGCTCGTTTTCTCTCCATATAACAAGTTGAAGATGTCGATCTGATTCATCAATTAATATTTGACGGAACATTTTCTCTACATCACCCGTTAATATGTACTTGTAGCAGCGAGCTCTAATTAATATAGAAAAAAGCGTGTCTTGAATTTGAGGCCCTACCATTTGGATATCGTTGACAGATAGGCCGGAGGATGTGCGTGCTGATGCATCGAAAACTACCCTAATTTTTGTAGACTCACTGTTTTGTTTAAACACAGGATGATGAGGCAAGAAGTAGCAAGTCTTAGACTGTAAGTCATTAATTGAAATTTCAGATAGATGACCCAATTGTGCATACTCTCTTATGAATTGGATGTACTGCGCCTTAACGTCGGGTTGTCTTCTAAAGCGTTTTTCTAAATTATAAAACCTTTTTTTAGCCATATTGAAGGAGTCACCGAGACAGTCAGGGGAATCTATAAGAGGTAGCTTAACAGAAAATCTTCCATTTTCTAAGCGAGAGGTGTGTTGTATAAAATGAGTTTCACATGCCTGCTCGTCTTCACTTAGGTATGAATTTGTTGGCATTTCTTCTAACTCCCAGAATTTACTTAGAATTTGTTCAATATTTTCATTATGATAAATATCAACAAGTGAGTGCTTGCATTTAATATTAATTCTGGGTTGTTTATGTTGCGATGGGCCTCCAATCAGCCAGCCCAGTTTTGAGCTGTGTAGCTTAGGACAATTTGGGCCAAGTGACCACTGCTCGCAACCTATAATATCCCAAAATAGGTCTGAGCCTATGAGAATGTCTACGTAAGCAGGTTGATTGAAATTGGGATCTGCCAAGACGATGTTCCTAGGAATATTAAATGATCTGATGTCAATAAATACACTGGGTATGGAACCTGTTAGTTGTTCCATTGCATAAAAGTTAGACATGACAGTAAATGATGAATTTTTCGATTTTAATTGAGCTATGCAATATTCAGTTATAATGCCTGAATCATTGTTGCCAAAACCGATAACCCTAGTGGCATCTATAGGACAATCCTCTAATGACAACTTTTGTTTCAGTCTTTGGCTTATGAAAGAGGACTGACTGCCACAGTCGAGTAGGGCGCGTACTGTTTCAGATCTTTTAGTTGTAGGATTGACTACCTCAATTAAGGCAGTAGAAAGAAGAGCTTGATTGATACCTTGGCTGTTGCAGCTGGTCGACGTCTCAGCTAAACTGTTGATACTGCTTGTGTTTTCAGCTGTTCCAGTAGGAAGGTGCAACATGCTGTTATGTCTCTTGTTAAATTCGCGGCAACGACCTAGGCGACA